CTGGATGTTTCTAAATCCAGCTCAAAGGCTTCTTTCCTGGGAAGAGCCGGAGAGGGTTCCCATACAGCGATTCAGCTCTACGTGGTCAACACAGGGGGCCCACCAGACACAGCTTCTCTTCCTCAGTGGAGAACGGGGCTCGTGTCTGATAACACAACGTGGTGCGTTATTGACCGTGGGTTTGAGCTGATCCCAGTGTGGGATGTCATCCTGTACAATCACAGGTGGGATTTTAAGTCTGTGGGTCAGATGAGCAGAGCCCTCAGGGCTGCGTACAAAGCACTAACAAATCTGAGTGTTGGCAGCATTTTTGGAGAGGAACTGGGCAGTGCAGTGCAAGAGGCCAGAGAATTCATCAGGACTCTGAAAGCCTGGAAGATCCCAGCGGATGAAAGGAAGCTTCTCATGCTGATGGAGCTAAAAGATGATCTGAATGCAAAAACCAGGAACCCCAGTGTGTGGATCAACGTGTGCCTGTCAGACAAAGCCCTGCAGGACTTCCTGGTGAACACCGTGCGGAGTTGCCAGGAGTCACCTCCAGAAAACACCACCTTTATCAAGGTAATATTGAAAAGCCTTCTGACTCCACATATCTACTCTGTCAAGGACTTCCCTGAGGCTTCCTTCATTATGCAATGGATCTTCCAGACTGAACACCCACTTCCCAAATCTCCCAAAGTCTCTGAGCTTGAAGACCTCATCAAAACACTGCAGCAAATGAAGGAGCACATCCATGCTGTCTCCTACGCACCAGGAAGCTCTGCTTCCGCCATTCATGATGCAAAGCGAGAAGCGACCCAGACCAGCAGCCTCGCCATTTATTCATTACTCCAGTGTCTCCAGGAAAAGGCTCAGAAGGACATGGAACTGTTGGTGCTCTTGATTGTGAGCAGCACAGGGTACCAGGTGGAAAGCAGCACTTTTCAGCACCTCCTTGGACACCCAGAAATTGAGTACATGGCCAAGGAAATGGAAGCGGCGCACAAGGAGTACGTGAACCTGAAGGAGCAGGATGCTGACAGAGCTGAGGCCTCTCTTCTGCTGAAGGGTCTGACGGTGACACCAGAAAGTCAAGGGCTGTCCCCTGAGCAGAAGAGGGAGCGTTTAATTTTCATGGAAGATCACATGAAAGGCTTGTGGTCCACACGGATAAAGAATCTGCTCCAAAAGCACAGTGGAGGTGAAGACTGGGAGAGGCTGGAACAGGACTTGCATTCCTTGATCAGTGGGTGCTTGGATGGCAACGGGAATGAAGAGAGGTTGCAGAACATAATCAGAGACCTGAAAGGCACTTTTTCAACATCTGAACTCCCTAGCCAGTCTCAATCCACCTCAGACAGCAGCCAATCCAAAGCAGATGAAGCCATTCCAAAGCAGGAGTTCCTCCAGCTGCTCAAGCGCCTGGGACTGGAAAGTCACTATCCAAGAAGAATGGGGATGGGAGATTTCCACACCATCTGCAGGACATGTCTGCAGGACAGCCAGCCCAGCCAGGACACAGAACTGCCAGGTTACTTCCTGCAAAAGCTGTTAACTGTGGATTACCAGGTGAGGTACCTGACTTGCTGGGATGAGAGCATCCCTGGCCTTGCATCTGTGCCAGTAACTACAAAAGAAGAGGATGAACTGTCAGATTCCTTTGATAACTTTCTTGATGATTTGGACGAAACAGCCCCTGAATGTGTGAGCAGGGACAGCCATGTGCACCCCATGGACCTGCAGATGGCCATTTTCCACTGCGCTGATGACTTCCTGAGACAAACCCTTGCAACCAAGCTGGCCTTCTGCCAACTGGCGCTGCCTCTGCTGGTGCCCAACCCGTGCACTTCACGCATCGAGTTC